CCATGTTTCCCCAATTTTCCTGCTGAGCTGTCTGCGCCAATTCCGCGTATCCTCCCACTGCCCGCTCCACTAATTTCCAGCTGATTACGCTCAAGTTTCTGACCATTCCCTAGGGGCATAAATGATCTGTCATCTGACCCAATGACGTTCAGGCAGGGGTAGTTTTTTTTTTTTTTTCAAGATTTTATTTATTTGACAGAGAGAGACACGGTAAGAGAGGGAACACAAGCAGGGGGAGTGGGAGAGGAAGAAGCAGGCTCCCCCATGAGCAGGGAGCCCGATGCGGGGCTCGATCCCAGGACCCGCCGAAGGCAGACGCTTAATGACTGAGCTACCTAGGCGTCTCTGGGCAGGGGTAGTTTTTGAGACCGGTCTTCGATGTTTGTTTTGACCCTTCTTGGCTGTCTCTTTGGGTCTCTCTCGCGACCTAACTGGCCCAGGGTTTAGATTCCTGCTCTTAATTAAGAAGAGCTGCCAGCAACCTCTCATTTGCTCACCACCAAAATCTTCCTTGTTCTTGCAAGAGCCTTTAGGCTTGGGTTTCCCCCACATTTTTTTTCTTTTTTCCTTTTTTTTTTTTTTTAAATAGGCTCTACCCGCAATGTAGGGCTCAAGCTCATGACCCGCCCCCCCTTCCCTCCCATCAAGAGTCACATGATCTACCCACGTTGCCAGCCAGGTGTCCCTCCCCACACTCTTTCTCAACTAAAACCAGTTCCTCTGGGGGAGAGCTTCAGAACTCTCTGGTCCTATAGGCTGCCTTCCTCCCTAGGCAAAATCTTTGTGCCACTGGCCTCTGGTCTCCTCTGCTTGCATCTCCCAGCACAGAAGCTCTGCCCAACAAGTGAGTGGGGGTGAGAGTGTTGGGTCCCAGTGTTTCCAGCCTGCCTGGGGTTGAGCCTCCTCCCTATGTGTGTGTGGGGGGGTTGGGGTGCTGAGTAGAGAAGGGAGCCTCTGACCTCTCAGCCACACTGGCCAGGAATTGGCTTCTTCAGGTGTAGGAATTAAATGAGATAATGTGTACAGAGGAACCAGCAGCTAGCACAAGGTAGTTGTTACCACTCCTTATTTCTACCTTTATTCATGGGCTTCCGGCTCCTAGTTGCTCTTTAGGAGAAAGGTATGCGGTATTACCAGCAGACAAAAAACAGATAAAATCAAGTCCACCCCGGTGGCCACCAGTCAGTGTAAGAAACAAAGTCTGCTGAGTTGGAGACCTGTGTGTGCTCTCTCCTAGTTCCTGCTCCTCCCTTCTGTGCCACAGGGAACCGCAGTCCTGAATTTGGTTTTATCATTTCTAGGAATCTTTTCATACTTTACTACTTATCTTCAGTAAAGAAGCAGAAAAGAGGGGCGCCTGGGTGGCTCAGTGGGTTAAGCCGCTGCCTTCGGCTCAGGTCATGATCCCAGGGTCCTGGGATTGAGCCCCGCATCAGGCTCTCTGCACAGCAGGGAGCCTGCTTCCCTTCCTCTCTCTGCCTGCCTCTCTGCCTACTTGTGATCTCTGCCTGTCAAATAAATAAATAAAATCTTAAAAAAAAAAAAAAGAAGCAGAAAAGATCCAGAAGCATTCTTCCTGTGGTGGATACGTAAACATCCTGTGTGTATAAAAGCAAATTTCTTAATAACAATATAAATAAATATAAATAATAAATAAAAAAATAAAAATAAAATTCTCATCCTTTTAATCTGAGAACAACAATTCCAGAAAGAAATGGTGTGCCTCCAGGAGCAGACTTGTGTAGTGTTCAGAGAAGTTTCTGTTGTAACTCTGCGCGTCGAAACGTCACTGACTACATTTACCCACATTAGGAATTTAATTTTATAAGTAACAGTACAGATTCCTTCAAACGTTATGATTTCAAGTTAATCTAGAGGTTCTTGACTTTGGGGAGAGATTATCGTATCATTTATCATATTTTGGTTAGTAATGGTTTTTGAGAGTCTTACCAGTATCCCTTGAAATGATGGAAGACTCATTGGAGTCCCATAGAACTGAATTTTGATCTCACCTTTAATTTGCATGTAAGGGGTAAAAATTGAAGTGCTTGGGGGTAAACCCCAGATGTGCCTCTAATATAATCTCAACTCTGTTACAGGCGTCTTGTGATTCATGCCGACTAGTAGAGGCAAGGCATAGTTGAATGAAATTTACAGAAATTTCAGTCTAAAGTCCTGTTTTATTATCTTTTTAAAAAAAGATTGATTTACTTGGAGAGAGAGAAGGTGAGTGGGGGTGAGTGGCAGAGGGAGTGAGAGAGAGAGAGAGAGAGAGAGAAACAGAAACTTTAGCACTCACTGCTGAGTGTGAAGCCCAATGTGGGCCTCCATCTCATGACCCTGAGATCATGACCTGAGCTGAAATCAAGTCGGACACTTAACCGACTGAGCCCCCCAGGCACCCCTAGATTCCCGTTTTTGATGAAGGTGTCAGCTGAAACAAGGACATGGGTGGATTTCTGTTCTTTCCCGGCCGAATCTGTTGGTGATTAGACACTGGAAAATCACTCCCGGCAGAGCAGGCCGGTCAGTTGAACTTCTCCCCTGCAGCCTGCAGGTGGCAGTATCATACCAGCGATGCGCCTGCCGTTTGGGCAAGGGCTATGGCTTTAAAATTCATGGCGTGTGTTGGCACCTTGTTAAAAATGCAGTAACATATTATCTGAATATGGGTATAGAAGCAGACCCCAACTTTGATGTGTCCCCATATTTACATATATTTGAATGACGGCCCCAGTCTTTTGTTATCCCCTGGCTGAGGTCTTTTGGGATTTCCCCTCTCTCTCCCCTTCAGGCTTCTTACTGTAGCTCTTGCTTCTTCCTGGGAATAAGCTCTCCCTTACAAAAATACCCACTTCTCTCCCGTGCTTTAGTGTGGCTCCCCTCCTTTTCATGAGGGAAAGGGACCCGGATTGAAAGAGAGAGTGAGAGAGGGGAGAGTGAGCCCTCAAAAAGGTCTGAACTGTACTTCTGTCTCCACTGCAATGACAGACACCACTGTGTCACCACTGTGCCCTTTTCCTCTTGTTAGCTGTCACTCTGTTTACCCTGTTGTTAGCAATGAAGACTTCGAGAAAAACCCAGAGTTGTGTTATGTAACTTGCTTCGGGGACGAGGCGCCTAGGGAACATTCTGAGACTGGGTTCGGTTCTGTCTGTGCCTTTGAGGAACCAGGGAAGGGAGCGAGTGAGACCGATCACAAATAAAAAGTGGTGGGAATGAAAAAGAGTCTCTTCGCAGGGAGCAGGGACTAGATGAGTGAAAAAGCTCCTCGGGCCTCACTTCCCCCTTTCCAGTGATTTCCATGAAAGGGGGGTGAGCAGAAGGGTGTGTGTGTGTGTTGTGGGGGGAATATCTGATCCTTTTCCAGCTGTTCTCATCATTCAGAGTAGAAATCTAGGCAGAGGTTCCACAGAAACACTCTTATATGATATGGTTATGAGCTCTGTAGAGATATCAGAAGGTAAGATAGTTTTCTGGGGCCTTCCAGCCCAAGCCAGAGCATCCCAGAGCCCCATGCACCCTGTGTTCTGTGAGATCAAGGTTTTGTTGAGTCTAAGACAACACTGATACATTGACAACTGCTTCTCTTGTCTCACATCACTCGTACAGAACATGTGAAGCTTGAAAAACAAGCCTCAACCCATTGACATTTCCAACAGGCTGTATAGAACTAAAAACCACGTTTAGCTTGTTCTTTGGTACAATATAAATTTGAGTCCTACATTTTTGTATAATGACATTAATTTGTGGATTAAGTTTATTTGGCTTAGTAAAATGCATCTTGCAGGATCTAGTTATTGTAATGGGCAGCAGCTTTTTTAAGACAGTTTTATTCTTTTGTTGCACAGTAAAATGTTCATTTCCTCCCAGTAGCCGATGAACTCATGTTAAATTGAGTTAAATAAAAAAACCTCTTTCATAATATTCAGCAAGCCTAAAAGTTAAAATGCTGCATGGAAAGTAATAACAAAGTACATGTTAGTATTTGCTTTTAATTGTCACGAGCCTTTTATCAATTAGAGGAGAACATTGAGGACGGGGGACTTATTTAGTCATGAAAAGAAAAAATAAGACTTGTTTACCAAATTGAAAAGAAATTAGGAAAAGTGATTTTCTCTAAATTACATTTCTACTAAATGCACTCTCCAAATTCGAGTTATTTTCCTAATTATATTTTATATGCAATGAATTTTTAAACCTCTTTGTGCACTTTATGCTCCTGGTTGGAAATTTAACATCAATTGAGTTTCCATTAAGCTGGAAATCACAGCTTAATGGTAGTTTCTAAAGATGTGATTTTAGCAAGGTATTTGCCTTGGCACAGTAATATAGTAATACAAATGCTTTTACAAACTACTTTAAAGTTTACAAAATACTTTTCTAACACAGGGGCATGTAGTGTCATGGAAAGACCAGAGGGTTTGACTTCAGACCGGGGCTTGAACCCCAACTCAGCCATTTACTTCCGATTACTCACTCTTCCTGAGTCTCAGCTTTTTCATCTGTAAAATGAGGATAACACCTGGGTTGAAGGGCCGTTGCGCATATTAAAGAGGATTAAATGCACCGGAAAACCTCACCCTCACCGTGAAACAGACCCCAGTGGCGAATTTCAGAATCTTAGTGGGAAGTAGGTTTAATTTCTGTTTTACAGATGAGTCAGCTGACGCCAGGTAACTATCATGATCCAGGGTCACCAGCCCTGATTTATGACTCCAGGTCCAGGGCACTCCATCCTCCCAGGGTATCCCTGTTACTTCGTAGCTGTCAGTAAGTGATTGTTGGGTGAGCAGAGTGGCTCACGGCAGGAGCCCCAGTGCTAGGCTGAGTAAAAGTTTACTGAATGGAGTTGAGATGAATCGGACAACATTTGGATTAATGAAACTGATTTCTCTTTGGTTTTGTATTGTGCGAAACACAGGAAAATAGTGTTTGGTTGCTAATTCTGTACTTGGGACATGAAGCAGTTAACGAGACCATGGTCATTCTTTTGCTAGTGATGATCTGGAACAGTTCATGGAAAGTCAAGGTGCATCCAGCCCAGGGATCCTCATTTTAACAACCAGCCTCAGCAAACCATTCATGCGACTGGAAAAGTACGTTACTCTCTTGCAGGAGTTGGAACGGCACATGGAGGTAAGGGAAGGCAAGGTATGGGCCTCTGCTCTGAAGGAAGCAGCCAGTCTCCCTCCAGACTAACCTCACTGAGGAATTCAGGAAAAGCCTTGGTTTCCCATTTCACTTGATCCAGTCTTTCCTCCTGCTGGGCTTCTAGCTTCCCCCTTGATGCAGCGAAATAACTCCAAAGGTTTTCTTACTTTTACTTCTTTATTTTTTCCACCTTTATTCGGGTATAAATAAAAACTGTGTATGTGTAGGTTGTACAATGTGTTTTTTTTTAAGTGTACAGTGGGATGGCTTAATATATGTAGAGATTATGAGATAATTATCATGAGCAAGTTAATTCGCACCTTCACCTTATGGAGTCATTAATTTTTTTTATGATGAGAACACTTCAGATATACTGTCAGTGAATTTCAAGTACAATACAGCACTATAGACTAGAACCACTGTGCTGCATGTTAGATCCCCAGAATTTATTCATCTTGCAACTGAAAGGCCCCTGTCCTTCACTACTAAATGTTCACGATCATTCTCCCTCCCAGCCTCGGTGCTACTGCTTCTCTCAAGTTGACTTAGGTTTTCCTCCTCTGTAGATGGTGGTTCAGTCAAAATTGACCAAGATCGTCTGCTGTTCTGGTATATGAACCACCTGATCTGGGGAGATAAACAAAGCAAAACACCAGAAAATATAAATACCACTTTCACTATAGACAGGGATAAATATATCGATCATTGAGCTTTCTGACTCTGGATTATGCTGGAACATTCTGGAATTTCCTTAAAGATTCGTAAATGGGTCCAGGATTAGTTTATCTGTCTGTGTATCCGTAGACCAGCATCAACGTTCCCTCACATTCGTGTTTATCAACTTAAGAGTTGATTGGCAACAGCTGTGGCATAGCTATAATCTTTTCTGAATATTAAGATTTGCATTGAGGCCCGATCATGGAATACTGTTTCAGGAAGAGGCCAGATCCTTTCATTAAAAACCAAGCAACAGGGATAGCTTCTAGAATCATCCTCACGCCATCGAGCATGGGTGTTTGAGGTGTGGGTGGGAGAGGAGGGCTCTCTGAGGGAGGCTGCATTTACCCTACCTAGTTGTTCTTCCTGTGTCTGGGGGAAGGTTTTGAGGTTTTAAAGGGTTTGATTATCTTTAAAGAGAAAGGTTGCACGCTGCCGGTCTTGTCAGCATTTGTAAAGATTGAAAGCACGCACTCTGAGCAAAACCACATTCTCAGGTTATTTGACCTGCCGGAAAGCTAGAGGCAGTGGGGACCTAGTGAGTAAAGCCTGCCGGAATGAAATTTCAGTTAGGGCTTGGGAAGGTGTTGACCTCTGGATGCCTTTCCAAAAGCTAAACCAGTTTGCCGGACCGTTTGAGGTTTGCCCCTCCTTGCTTATCGCCAAAATCCAGAAACCAGTGGCCTCCGTTTCTGTTACAGCTCAATGCTGGAGTACTAATGCACCCTCAGTTTGAGGCGAAGAATCCCCAGGTGCCCCCACCCCCCCGCCCACTGCCTGGGTCCTCTGTCTTGGGCTTCCTTGAATTGGAGCCCGTCCACACGCCTGCCTCCATTTGCTGCTGGTCACCTGCCTTTGGCTGCTTGCTGCTTCCCACCATCAGCTAACCCGCAGCCTCAGCACCGGCTCGCCATCCGGTGAGATGCTGTCTCCGGACCTGGGGCTGTCAGCTCTGTGTTTTCTTACTGAAGGCCAGTGGAGCAGCAGTTTTTGTCCTTCCATTATCCCAGCTGAATCCCAGAGGTTAGGTAGACATCTGGCCCCATGTCGGGTCTGCAGCCTCCCCAGAAATCTCCCCTTTCCCTTCAGGAGCAGTCCTCAAAGCCGTTCTTGAACCTGCCCACTTGCCAGGGTCGTTAAGTACCACGGGACTGCGGACCGTAGATAGCACAGTGGTACAAAACCTGGCATTTTGATCCCACCTGCCATGTTGAGCCTGCTGAGGGAAAGTGACGGCATTTTAGGAAGTGAGATGGGATTGATTTTTCTCTACCCGCCACTCGGTTCCCACCTCTTACCATGTATTAACAACATGGCCTGATGATGCCTCCCCTGCGCCCAACTGCTGATTAGTTATTATCTAAAGTCTCCAGAACCACATGGACGATGTCGTTGCCAAGTCCATGATGTGCCATCAGCTGTCTTTGTTTCTTGGTCACCTGGTCATTGGAGGCGCTGAGATGCCAAGTGCTCAAGTGATATTTAAATTAGCCTCCAGTAAAATGGACTTCCTTCCTTTGGCTTTTATCATGCGTGTAGATTCCTGTTACCATTGCCACAATGGAGATACAGGATAGTTCCATCATCCCCTCAGATTTCCTGTCTCCTGGCGGCCACACCCTCCTGCCACCCCTGACCCCTGACCACGGCTGATCTGTTCTCCTTTAATACTGATTTTACAATGTACTCGTTTACTAGGACACGCATCCGGATCACCAGGATATTCTGAAAGCAATCATAGCCTTCAAAACGCTCATGGTAGGTGATGCTCTCACATTCTCATTCTCCATTTTGTATGCTTTGTTCCTAAAAAAGTGACTTGGGTGGAACATTTCTTTCCTCATGCAAAGGTCTGTAGAGTGGAAACAATAAGCTTCAGCGACAGTATCGCAGTGATTGCTTCATTTAATTTTGTCTTCCAAAAAATCATGCTTACCTATGAAAGGTTGCCAGGCTGAGGGCATAAAGAGCTCACATTTGAAGTCTCTGCCACATTAAGCATTACTGTGTAGGTGGGGGGTTTCCTTTTGTCTCTTTGTCTTTACCCCCATGTCGTTTACCTTATGTCTGTGTAGCTTGTCATTCGCTGATCGGTGTCAGTACTGGATTCATCTATCTATGCCAAAAGGTGTGAGTTTATTCTTTGCATATGAAAAAGAAATCCTGCATCAAATCTAAAAGGAGAAAACCTACTAAGATCCAATTGCTTTAAAGAGATTGCTATCAAAGCTACCTGTAATCTTACATCTTGAGCCTGATGGTTAATGTCTCCTTGAACCCACTGATGTAAAACCACTTGGTGGCATTTCAGGAGAAGAGATAGAGTTTACTGGGCGATTGATTGGGTTTAGCTTCATTTTTTTAAAGATCTTTTTATTTGTTTGAGAGTGAGCGAGCACAGACGGGAGGGGCAGAGGGAAGACGAGAGAGAACCTCAAGCAGACCGCGCTGAGCATGAAGCCAGATGCAGGACTCGATCTCACGACCCCGAGATCATGACCTGAGCCAAAACCCAGAGCTGGATGCTTAGCCAACTGTGCCACCCAGGCGCCCCAAGTTGAGCTTTAGACATTTCCGTGGCATTCCAAGTGGTTGGGATCCGTGGTTAGTTAGGATTCTTGCTATAAGCTTATGATGCGACATTCACCGTCGCCTCATTTTTATTGCTGTTGAAAGATCAGTGCCTGGCGTGTCCACAGGTAAACAGCAAGTCAAAAACCAGAATAAGGTATTAGGTTAAAATTGCTATTGTCGGGATGCCTGGGGGGCTCACTCTTAAGCGTCTGCCTTGGGGGCTCAGGTCACAATCCTGGGGTCCTGGGATCGAGCCCCACATCAGGCTCCCTGCTCAGCAGGAAACCTGCTTCTCCCTCTTCCACTCCCCCTGCTTGTGTTCGCTTTCTTGCTGTCTCTCTCTCTGTGTCAAATAAACAAATAAAAAATCTTTTAAAAATATATTTTTAAAAATTGCTGTTGTCACAGGTTGAAAACAGTTACATGACTCAACCGAATCGAACAGCCCACTGAAACCCTTGGCATTTACTACTCTTTGTGTCCCCTTTATTTTGTCCTATGTAAAGTGAATGTAACATTCCTTTTTGAACGAATACTGTTTCTTTCTGACCATTTCCCCAGTATAGATGCTTCAGAAATGTGTGCAGAGTGAACCGATGTCTTCCAGTTTCCACGTAGCTGAAAGGGACAGCAGAGATTTTATAGAAAACACACCCCCCAAAACGATGACATTTATTTGGAAACAGTAACATAACTAACCATATGCTCATTATCATATTCAACTTGGAATGATACTCTAAGAAATAACTTCACACGTATTCATATCCCACATATTGTTTCCTGGCTTGTATTTCCAGTTTGTATGTGTAAAATTCAGTTGTATCTCTTTTTCACAGTTCTCTTAGGAATGAAAATTAACTTAGTATGTTTCCCCCGCCCCAATCTCCTGCTAGTCCCTAAAGTATAGGGCTGTGCCACAGTAAATGAGATCGCTCGTACACGAAATAAATGTATTTATTTATTTATTACATTTATTTATTTATTGGTTCCTGCTACCACACTATCTTCATCTTTTGGCAAAAGTAGCTCTTCCTCACAAAACATTTGACTAGAGAGTTAGGATAGTGGATCTTTCTGTCCAGCTGAGGAATAGGGACTCAGTGGAAATCTGAAAGTCCAAAGCTTCCTCTCACTTTGGTCTGGAAATTCCTGTTCCATTGTGTTCTCCTTTGGTTCCGTAGGGGCAGTGCCAAGATCTTAGAAAGAGAAAACAGCTGGAGTTGCAGATACTTTCTGAGCCTATCCAGGCCTGGGAAGGAGAGAGTATTAAAACCTTGGGAAATGTGCTGTTTATGTCACAAGTAATGGTGCAGTATGGAACATGCGAGGTAAGACATTTCAAACCCCAAAGCCCTTGCTTCCATCTTTCCTTTTTTTTTTTCCCCTTTGATTTGGCCTTCCATCAAGGTCAAGTGCTTGAACGTTCCAAGAAACTGAGCAGTTCTTCCTTGCCCGGCACTCTTGGTAGGGGGAGAGGAGGTGTGATGATCCCCACCTTTAAGGAATGTCTTGGAAACAGGTGGATGGGCGCTGCAGCTAGAGACCAGACCCAGGGGGTCAGCGCAGGGCATGTGGTCTTCACGGTGCATTCCACAGACGTTTAGAGGAGGGAGAGAGCGAGCAGACCTTACGGAGCTAGGACCAGAGGAGGGGGGCCATGAAGAGAAAAGGCGAGGATCCCATAAGGGAGAGGCCATTCTTAGCTCAGGAGAGAACGGGAGCGTGGCCTTGTGCCAAGGTAGGTCAGCAGCAGAGGAGGTGTGCTGCGAGAAGGAAGGAGATGGAGCAAGACGAGAGTCGGCTTTTGAGAGCCCCAGGCGTCGGGTAGTAGCCATTCAGGTCCACCCAGTGGGCCACGGGGCTGCTAGAGGGTCAAGTTGTATAGAAATGCCACGAAGGGGGTGTCGATGATACTTAATCCAGAGGGGAGGGGGCTAGCCACAGAAGGACCAGCTGGGCTGTGAAGTGAGAAGGACCCCTGTCCACCCCGTGAAGGCAGTGGCGGGGAAAGTGAAACTGCAGGGAGCCGATCTGGGCCCCAGTTAGGAGGGCAGGTGGAGAGGGAGCAGTGACCCGTGGGCTGGAGATGACAGATGTCCTCTTAGACGCGTTCACCTGCAGGTAACCCGCTGTAGGTCCCCGGGCGGGGGTGGTCTTGTAGGCAGCTGTTATAGCAGCAGAGGACGGTGGGTGGGCGGGCAGAGCCGGAGGCAGAGGCTTAGATGTCCCTGACAGATGCACCTTCCTCGGAAGCAAACACCCAGAGAGAAGCACGGGAGGCTGAAGATGGATTACGTCTTTTAGGAAGGGGGCAGAGTAGGGGAGGAAGGTTGCTTGTGTCACCTGGTATGATTTATCGGGTGTTAGAATTGCCGTTCCTGTCCCAAAACATGTCCCTATAGCCCCTGACAGGTCTCTGTCAGAGATTCATGACTGGGGGTTAACAAGCAATCTCATTCAAGACGCAGATACCCTGGGGAGGGCTGATGGGACCGGGAGTCCAACTGTTAAGTCTTTCACACCTTTGGGATGAACCTCTAGGTTGAAGAGAGAAGGGAGGGCCGGCCAGAGGGGACTGGGGTACTGTGTTGTCATGGAAACCCCGGGAGGGAAAGGCGGTGGAAAGCGGTCAGCCTGCTGAGTGCGGCCGAAGGTTCAGAGGTCAAGGAGTGCGGAGACCAAGAAGAAGCCAATGGATTTCGCCAGAAGGCAGTTATTGATGACTTCGAGAGGGCAGTGGGGCCCCAGTCAGGGAGGAATCAATGGGGAGAAAAATAAGGCAGCAAGTAATTTGGCAAGAGAATGTCGAGGCACCGGGCCCTGGCGTACCTGGGAGGTGCTGGAGGTCCGCTTCCAGAGCCCCGCCACGAAGCCGGCAGTTCAGGGAAGTGAGTCACATCAAGGTGCCAGTCCCTCGGTGTGTATGAAAGTTGCCTTTACGCCGACCTGTAGTTTATTAAGTGTGCAACGGGGTCATGTCTAAACACAGCCTGTAGCTTCATCAGAAACACTCTGTGGCTACAGAAGGGCTAATCATCCTCGGAGCCTTCTGTGTGTCCTGATCATTGATCACCAGAACAAGCTCAAAATGTGGCAAGAATTACCAGAACGTGACGGAGACACAAAGTGAGCAAACGCTGTGGGGGAAAAGGGCGCCCGTAGACTTGGTCCACACGGGGTTGGCCCAGACCCTCAGTCGTAAAAACCACAGCATCTGTGAATAGCACGAGGCGGGCCTGTGTGATGAAGAAGGAGCCTCAGGGGCCCGTGAAGGCCCGGCAGGACGGGAGGTAGGAGGATGGTAAAGGCAAAAGGGAAGAAACTAGCTAAGCAGGAGCGGCTGCTAGAAGGAGAAGGAAGAAATGAAGTGTCTATAGAAGGAAACCAGGCAATAGAAAGATGTGAGAGGCTGCAGAGAACTTACTAGAAGAGTGAGCCTCAAAGGACTGCCCTTCTCAAGTGCAAGGAAGGAGATGGAGAGAGGCATAAGGATCATTAGCGCTAACACAGCTGGTGTTTTTGCACCTGCTAATCGCCTCTCTGTTTAAAGGGGTTCGGAGAAGCCCTCCTGTGTGAAATTTTGTTTTGTGCTGTTTTCCAAAAGTATTTACTTTTTCACGTTACATGGGTACGATAGTTCTCTTGTTCTTATCGGTTAAAAGTAATTTTATGAATAAGAATTTAAGACACATGCTAGAGCATAGGAAACTTCCTGTCACCTGGAAACCCCTTCTGTTTTGCTCCTTTTCAAAGGAAAATCGTTTTCCTTTTGTGACCCCCGAGCCTCATGCCTTGGCATAAACCACGTGACAACTCAGGTGTGTATACTTGGGAAACCAGCATGGTTTTTCGTATCTCACTGTTACGTAGAGACAGAAGAGAGATACACCATGGGTTTGTACTCCTTTCAAAGCAAAATCCACCTAGTTTTTTTTTTAAAGATTTTATTTATTTATTCGACAGACAGAGATCACAAGTAGGCAGAGAGGCAGGCAGAGAGAGAGGAGGGTGGGTGAGGGGAAGCAGGCCCCGTGCTGAGCAGAGAGCTCGATGTGGGGCTCGATCCCAGGACCCTGGGATCATGACCTGAGCCGAAGGCAGAGGCTTTAACCCACTGAGCCACCCAGGTGCCCCAAAATCCACCTAATTTGGTGCCTTGAGGTTGGGTATCTTTTTTAAAAGGTCACCGTTCGTGTTTCATTGCCTCCCACAAGCTCTGTGTTACACAGTAGGGACTCCTGAAATTCTTAACAAATAAAATGTCCAACTTCTGTTCTCTGCTTAGCGTGTTTCATTTCACTTTAGGAAAAAGAGGAGCGGTACCTTCTGTTATTCTCCAGTGTCCTGATAATGTTATCGGCAAGTCCTCGGATGAGTGGCTTTATCTACCAGGTTAGCAGATTTCATATAAAACACATAGCAGGATCCAGAGTGAAAACAGGTTTCCATCCAGATGCAATATTTCTACTGTGGCGTAAAAAGGTCCAGCCAGAGAACACAGAATGTTCTGACCCTTTGTTGTAATTAAACAGCTTATAAGATCAGATGTTCCTTAGGTCAGAAACCTTTATATTGCTGTAATGAGTTTATCTGCAATGTCCACTGCTCTGGTTATGAGCATAACCTATGCATGTTTAAAAAAGAACTCTTAAGTGTGCAACCGGATAAATGCGCAGCAAAGTTTCACGGGCTCGTCTCATATCATTACTGCTGAGAAACTATAAAGCGGATTCGGGGTTCTGAGGTACAAATCATGAAACTCCTTAGGAAGTTAAACTTCCTTCAACCTGCTCCCCAAATATGGAGGGCCGTGATTACGGTTGCCTGTTTTATCTGTTGTAGCAATTACTAATTTTCATAAAATTGGACTTTTTTTTTTTTTTTTGAATCTTACTTTGTTGACAGATTCTCCTGCAAATGTGTCAGAAAAAAAAGTGAGCTGTTTGTAAATCCCCACCGTATGGTTTAGGGCGTTTTAGCAAAACACAACCCACATTTCCTCCTTGCTTCCTTGTCTAATGAAAACTGAAAGCAGGGAAATATACTATCTATTGACAGGACAGAGGAATCTGTCCAGCTGTCATTCAGCAGTGATTCTTGAGAGGGTCACAAAAATCTAATAGACATAAGCAGAGATGCATATAACCACAGACTTAATGGGAATGTTCTTTTCTTGATAGGGAAAAATACCAGTAGCGGGAATGGTGGTGACTAGATTAGATGAAATCGAAGGGAATGACAACACATTTGAAATCACAGGTAGGTAATTTTCTCTTTTTTCAAGTAGCTACTTGAAATCCTTTTTGGGACGAAATGGAATTTGAGTAAATTAATGTCATTATTTTCTGTGATAAGCCTCTGAGTGAGTTTTACCTGGGCAAGGCAGAGTATAATTAGGGCCCAGCGATGGAACACAGTCTCCTGGTCATTTGGAAACCTCGGCTTTGCCATTAGTTTCAATCTCTTCCTTCATAAGAGCTGCTTGTTAGAACTCAGAAATAACAAAATGGACTGACATAAAAGCACAAACTGAGGAAAATGCCAAGCCTGACCTTTTGGCCTGTGGTGCCTTTTTTTGCCAGGCCTGTGTGATTGCCATGTGACAGTGGTATTTTTTTTGTATGGACTTGGCACAGTGGCTGACACTGGGATAATGACCCCAGGCCTCACCCTCTTCTTCCCCAGGAGGGAGCCTGAGATTAGATGTTGGTCCCGTTTCAACTTTGAATAGTTCAGTGAGGCAGTCCAGAATTCTCACGGCGGGCTGAGATGGGCCCTGGCCTTCAATTTTTGCCCTGTGAGTTTGTTTGAAGTTTAACACTCCTTTCCTCCGATTCTGTAAGCAGTAGAAGTCAGGGACAGTGTTAGAAATCAGATACAGATACTTAATTTCCTGACCTCATGAACTGTTCCTCCTGACATAGAAGCTTCCACAGGGTTATTCTCTAGGTGCGAGTCTTAGTTGTGTTGAGTCTGTTTATGGAGGAGGCGGGCTCAGGCTTCTCGCCTCTCGTCTCCAAATGCTCCCCGTCGGATGATGCAGGTAACATCGAGAGAATCGTCATCCACTGCAACAGCAGTCAGGACTTCCAGGAGTGGCTGGAGCAGCTGTGCAGACTCATCCGGGGACCCGCCTCCTGCAGCTCGTTATCTAAAACGTCATCGTCATCTTGCAGCGCCCATTCCGTAAGTGGCCCACTTGTGCTGTCTGGGGGTTGTTGAGGCTCTCGTCAGACCTGCCTGCAGAGGACTTATGAGAAGTAGCAAGCATGCCCTAAGACTTCGGCTCGTCTGTGTCTGTAGGTTTCGAAGTACAATAAGACCTCATGAATTCCGATGGCTGGTTTTGGACAAGCGTCCATCCAAGTTAAGACAGAGGTGTACCTAGAGGTGTGAACTTCTGTTTGATGGTCCTAAGGGTCTCCCCACCCCTCCAAATCTCATTTATGCCACCACATTCACTAGGTCACCTTCAAGGGTAAACTTCCAGCATTGCTTCTTCTGAGTTATCATGAATTTGGACATCCTGGAATTGGAATTGATGAGATTTTACCGTACTTGTTAAGTGAGAGCGAAGATTGCCGTGTTCTCTGTTAACACTCATACCGGCCATGCCAAAACTCCAGTCTCGAGCACTGCGTGTTGCGGTGGGAAGAACGAGGGCTTTGGCATTGGACCTGAGTTCAAATCTTGGCTTTGTCAGTCGCCAACTAGTTTCTTTGCTTTGCTGATGTTCGTCTTCAGTTGTTCTGGTGAAATAACCTATTTCGGCACCTAGTCGAGCGCCCAACGTGTGACTGAACCCATTCGAGGTTAACTCTGCTTTCCTCTCTTCTAAAAGAAGGCCACCCCTGGCTTGCATGAAATTCCAGCAGAGAGAGGGAAGACAGGATCATAGGATGTTGAGTCAGTGGGGTGCTGTTGCTCAGAGACCCCCATAAGCTGGACTGGAAAGTGCCAGTTCTCAAACGGGACACTTTTGTTTTCCCACCTTTTCCTTCCTGTGGCTGGCTTTGCTGATCCAACAACACTGTTGCTGTTCTCTCGCCATGTTGGCCCAAGGTCGGGTTCAGATGGCAGATTGCCAACATCTCATCAGACATTTTCCCAGTCTTTTAGCTCTACTGGACAGCCCCGAGGACCCCTGGAACCTCCTCAGATTATAAAGCCGTGGAGTTTAAGTTGTCTGCGACCTGCACCTCCACTTAGACCGTCAGCAGCACTAGGTTATAAAGAGGTAATTTTTGCTACTTATGGTATAAAATGCTTCTGACAAGCTCATTTCCTAGCTCATTACAAAGAGTTCAGTGGGAATGTGCTGGAATTTATGCTATGGCATACACGTTAATCACTTGGGAATTGTCAGACTCGGGGATTTCTTATTTATCAGCTATCCGCAGGGTTTGTGTGCACTGCCTGAGTTCCTGGGTCCCCTCCCAGAGTGCCTCTAGTTCACCTCTCTCATGGTCCGATGTGTATACACAAGGGCCGCTTCACTGGACTTGAATTTCCACCCAAGCAGACCCAGTTCTGCATTTGGGATTATTCTGATCTGTTAAGCCAAACCAGAAAAGTCTACGGGACCAGGCCCTGGGTCTGAACTATGAGGGGCTGGACTTTTTGCTGCAGTTGGGAGGGGAAAAGAACTCAATGAAAAGAATGTCCTTTAAGCAGAAGCTTCTAGGCAATAACCTTAGAGGGCATTGGGTATTTCGGTAGTGTGGGGACTTCAAGGTTCTATGTTTTCCTGAAAGTTGCAGTCAGGAAGTGTCAGTCAGTGCCCTCTGTGGATGTGTGGACTATTACTTTTTCCATCCACAGTGTTTTTTATTACTTTTCCCCCCTAAGCTGTTTCTCATCATTCCAGCTTTCAGTAAAGAGCCTCGTTTATTAGGAACTGTTCTTTACCCAGGTCTTACCGAGTGAAGGTTTAAGTCTGTGAGGGTTATGAGGTGCGTCTTGGAATTAGGGGGCAAAGACAGCATATATTTCTACATCGAACCTGTGTTTCGATGCGTGACACAGATTCAGCTCAATTTTAAGTTTGTCTCCATCTCAAACACCGTGCTACTATTTCGATTAATTGTTGCCTCCAACTCTGAGTGCAGTAAAAATAAAACAATCTTTGGACACTGGAGGATTTTTTGATCATTTCAACTGGGCACGACAGGAGAAAGCTAAATCCTTATTACCTACCTCTGTTCAGAATTGGGCCAGGAAACAGGCCCACAGGTTTGCTTTGGAATTTGGCCCATGATACCCGCAAGCATTCAGTTTTCTTCTCTGATTACATGAACCAGGAGGGCCACTTCATAGTTACATGGGTCCCCTTTTTAACGATGGCTATTTTGTAATTGTCAGTCACTAAGTTCAAGTGCTGGTGAAGGGTTAAGTTGACTTAATCCTTCCCAGAACTAATCCTAAGGCATGATCATGTCGTTTCCACTGGGAGAAGAGAGTTATTAATATGTCCTTACTATGTAGTGTGTATTTCGGTTACTTTCAGTATTTGTTACTCTGCACGGAACTGTATTCCTTGGGCTTTTTGCATGGTGATATTTGCATCTGAGACTAATGTGGGAAACGTGATGATATTCTCTGTGTAACTGATGATGACACTAACATTTCAAATGTTGTTTTAGAATTGTTGATAAATGGATTTGGTCATTATAACCATCGACCTCTCACGCTCATCTTCTCTTTCTTTACATATTCACTTTAGAGGATGTCTTATATCTTAAAGGTAAGGGTAGAACGATATCTTTGGCTTACAGTGACGTTATAATGCTGTGCCGTAACCTTTGATGAATGAAGCTTTCCTTTATGCTTGTTTTGTCCCTTGTTCTGATTGGTGGCTAAAAAATGAAGATGCAAATCTGACATGTAAGTACTTTCTTCAAAAAAGCAGGCTCTTGGGAAATACGTTTGAAAACGACGTCTTAGACGCCCTAAAAAGGCCTGTTTTCCTTGTGTGTGTGTATGTGTTTTAATGCTCTTTTTCCTGTTATTTTTGTCACATGCGAGTTTTCCATGGCTGTCTGTTTTCAAGCCTAAGTGGGTCATTGTGGCTGAGTGGAAAAAATTAAATTCTTTGTTCCATATATTTTAAGGTACTAATTATTATCCACACATCACATAGATGCATCGCATGGGAGATTGGGAGAAGAATGGTCGCCATTCTAATCCATTTACTTGGTTACGGGCACTGGTTATTCAGACGGCAAAGGCAAACTCAATAATTCGTGGCTCTGTCATCTCCTAATTAAAAATATGGCTTTAGGGGCGCCTGGGTGGCTCAGTGGGTTAAAGCCTCTGCCTTCGGCTCAGGTCATGATCCCAGGGTCCTGGGATCGAGCCCCACATCGGGCTCTCTTCTCAAGGGGGGAGCCTGCTTCCTCCTCTCTCTCTATGCCTGCCTCTCTGCCTACTTGTGATCTCTGTCAAATAAATAAATAAAAATCTTTAAAAAAAACCTACGGTTTTAGATATGTATATCTAGGCTTGGGTCTGCACCTGTGACTGCCAACCCTGAGTTATTTATGCAGAGAGCCCTCATTTGCCTCTTCTCTCCGACTTCAGGGAAAGTATTCAGTCCCTCTGCCTTGATTTTCCCATCTGACAAATGGAAATTAATATTCTTCTTTGGGGGACTGTTGCTAGGGAAAATGTATTTATACCACTTTGAAGCTCTTTGAAAAGCAGTGTGTACTATAATTGTTATTCAATTCCCTTAAAACTGTATCAGTGAGGACCCTAAACCAAGTTAGGAATACGGTTATTTCCCTAGGATTGACACCCACTACTTTCTCTACAGATGGGCACCTGTCCCTCTGGCAATTGAGAGGACAGTGTCATTGCCTCTGTTTTATGTTACCTTTTAGAGCTTATTGGAGCCATTTATTGTGTGCATTATTAAATTTAGATGCCCTCTGGAGACCGTCAAAATAAGAGAGAGCCATTTGGTTTAATTTCATTTGCTCTTTTTCATTTGTTTTTGGGGGGAGAATTCTAATTCATAAAGAAAACCTCCGTCCTTACAGGAGTCTAGTAAAAGCCCCAAAACGATGAAGAAGTTTCTTCACAAAAGAAAGACAGAAAGAAAGCCGTCGGAGGAGGAATACGTGATTCGGAAAAGTACGTGTTTTATACCTTTTGACAGTCGGTTACAGATGAGCTAGCAGAAGAATTTTGTTGAGGGCAGATGATCAGAGCGGTTTGTCCTCTCTATCACCTGTTACACAAAGAAAAATGTGCGCGTTCTCAGGTTTGGTCACCTCTAAGCTTTCTGAACGAGCTGCCTCCCGCTGCATTTCATTGATCTGAGCCAGACAGCCGCCCTGTGACCTTCACCTTGGAGATTTCATCCCACCTGGTTGGGAACCACTAAAGGGCCCCATTTACTATGGATACATTCCCCCCCCCGCCTTATTTTCTGATGCCCAAGATGTTTTCCCCTGCCGAGACACACTAAATAGACCTGAAGGCCGAAACCCTTCTGGAAGTTAAATGCTCAGTGACGTTCCCAGTTCGCCAAGGAATCAGCCTGCTGCTGTGTAGAAGCGGCTTGATTCTGAGGCAGACTGCGCCGTCGGTCGACCGGTCCCTATGTGTGTGTTTGCCTCAATCGCGGGGACCGAGGTACTCTGGGACATGCATGAAGGAGTAAGTGATGCATCGCAAAGGGTGTCTCAGCCAAAAATACACTCTGGAGAACTCTTTGCCACACTCCAGCTTCTGCATGGCCCAGCCTGCCCCCGGGGAGTGCGCATTAGCCCTCTGGCAGGGTTCTGCGCCTCCCCCCCAAGTCCCTTCAAGAAGATTTGGGGGGGTAGGAAGAATCAATGACTCTGCTGGCTGGTTGGAAAAAATGGGCGAGTTCTGTGTGGGAAAGCTTCCTAGAGAAGGGAAGCCTGGCAATGTGGAGGAGAGGCAGGTTGTGGTGTGTGTCAGGAGAGAACCAAGGCTAGGGCCATGCCCAGTGCTGTCATCGTGGCTCCTAGGAGTCTAGTAAAAGCCCCCAAATGATGAAGAAGTCTCCTCAGAAGAGAAAAATGGAAAGAGAGCCACCAGAGGAGGCTTTCTGGGTGGGGTGGGGGTGGGGCGGTCCCCAGCAGCCGAGCGCGTGGCATCCTTTTGAGGTTCTAGAGACGGATCTCTCTCTGCCAAGTCCTTACCCCTTAAATCCCCCAGGTACCGCCGCTCTGGAAGAAGATGCGCAGATCCTTAGGGTGATTGAAGCCTACTGCGCCAGCGCGAACTTTCAGCCAGGCCACAGCTCAAGTAGGTCCCCCCCGAACCACTTTCTCTTCTGACTGCTCAGCGCCTCTTTGCAAAAAAAAAAAAAAAACGAGAAAAGCAGGTGACCTGGTGCAGAATTGCATCTTTCCGATAAGGTGCTTTGAGCTGTCAGGCGGTTTGTTTACCCGCTGCTTCTTTTCACCCAGAGAGAAAGACAGATGCAAGAGTAAAAAAGTTGGAGGTGATAGAAATGAAAAAAAAAAAAATTTTTTTTTTTTTTTTCAAAAAGTCCTTCTCCTTTGAAGTACACAGATACCTTCAGCAGCACTAGTTAGGAATTAAAGAGCCCAGAGAGTTCCTGTGTCTGTGAACTGATGCTAATCTCTTCTCATAGGCAGATTTGGAAAGGAAGTCACAATACTATCTTTGATCAGTTGCATATTTAAGCGAACAGAACAGTGCTTCACCCATCTCAGGTTTCAGAGTTGCTCTGAAAATCTGGAAATGTAGCTGCGTGGAGCAGGGGGACTGTTGGGAATGTCCACAGTTTACAGGGAGCTGTCAGGGAAGGGTACAAGGGTACCACCCCCCAGCCTCCCGGCACCTTTCAGGCTACATGCTGAAAGCGAGATGAGGTTTCCTGATTGATCCTTGAGCTTTTCGAAAAACCAGGTCGCTTCGGTTCTGTCTTGTCTTCCGTGATTATAGACATTCAGGAGACCTGGTGTGAGGTGTTTTGATTTGCAGAAGTGAGTTCTCCATAACTCTCCCTGTTGGACAGCTACTGACCAATCACTTGAGTGGGGATGGGGATGGCTTGGGTGGATGGCCTTGGCCAATGCCTTCGAAGTAATGTGTCCCCCAGGGCTGGCATGAGGAGAACATTTGATGTCATACTTGACACGTTTGACCATGAGGAGAGGACTGCCCTATGTTCCGCTTCACAGACAGATCCTGGCAGTGGCTTTAGGCACACCCAGCTCTGAGAACAAGTTTCGAGGAGGCAGGAAGGGAAAGTGAGAGCAGTTTGGGGCGTGAAAACTAGGAGAGAGAGGGTGACAGGGAGACACCAGAAGAAGCATCCCTCGTCTGCTCCCCAAACCCGCACTCTTCACGTCGACAGCGTCCGCCAATCTGTAGGAGGCACAGGCAGGTGTTCTGGTCTCAAGAGTCCCATTTCTGCCCCTCCTGCCCAGCCTTCCCCTGAGACTTGGCCATGTCTAACATCATGGCGGCCTCCCATCCTCTGTCCCTCTCCAGCTGGAAGTCCCGTTTCCCAGGAACTCACTGCTGTTATTTCCCGCCACGTTTAACCAGTCGGTCAGTCAGTCTGCTACCTACTTGGTAAGCACCTGTGGAGTGCCGGACCCTGTGGAAAGCAGAGACACCACCACCTCAGCAAGGGGGAGGCAATGAGCACACACAACGTGAAGGCTGAAGGTTAAGGGCTTGAGCTCCAAAAGGAAGGCTCCAAAAGCGAGGGGAAGGTTGGAGGTGCAGGAGAGCTCTTTGGTCCGGTCCCTTGTCTGTTCTGTCACCTCTTCCATCTCTAGACCCATAAAGATGCCCACATCTTTGTGTGATGTGGTAACGTCCAACCCCCGCACCACCCCTGACCAAAATGGACTTCACTCACAAAATACCCCCAACCCTGGCCAAAATCGAATCAATTATTTGTCTGTTTTCTCATGTCAGGAAGATTTTAGTCAGCAAGTGTTGGATGACTGCTCTGTGGGTACAAGGCACCAACGTGCCGTCAACAAAGACCCCTCAGCGACAATAGCAGAAAGGGCCAACACCTAGAGTAGTCTCGAGTAACTCTCCCCTTTTTCCCTCTCGCAACCCTTGTCTTCGTAGGTGCTCGCAAAGATTCACTCCCACAAGTTTTACTCCCCGAGGAGGAGAAACTCATCATTGAAGAAACCAGGAGCAATGGCCAGACTATCATTGAAGAAAAGTGAGTAGAGTGGGCTACATTTTCTGATTTGTCTGGGGGCTAGAAAGAAGGTTCTGGCAGGGTAGTGCGTCTGTTGCAAAGCCCGCACTGAAGGACAGTTCCTCCTTCTCCAGGAGTATAACCCTTTTTGCTCTCACGCTGCTGGGAACTATGGGAGGGCTGCCCCCCAACAAGGGGAAGGAGGAACGGGAAGCAGAGTGCGTGGAACTTTCTGGGGCCAGCTCCCCCGTACAGTAAAGTGCTTCAGAGTATTCAAGAATAGCACTCCAGGGTCCAGATGGCTCTGCGGAAGGCTACAGCACTACTTCTCCTGGCCAGAGGGTTGCTTCTCCCATTTACTGAGTCAAACCCTGGACGTTCACATACTGACCTATTTAGAATCCTCCAGAAACGCAGTGAGATAAGCATTGCTTTCACCACTTCTATTGAGGTTGAGGCACAGGGAAACGATGTTCCCAGTCTACCTTTGCACACTAGTGAGGGTGACCTAATGGGGGAAAATCAGGTTAAGCACCTTTGGCCTCATAAAATAAACACAAAGTAGCCAAAAAATTCATTTCTTTAAACTTGAGTCATTTCTGAAGTCAGGCCTGAATTTGCATAGGACAGCATATTTCAAAGTGCTCGACATCGTCAATGTGTTTTTCCATCTGGTATATGAAGTGATGTGGCAAAATGGTAAAGCACTTGGGCTCAAGAGAACAGCCCTGGTTCAAGTCCAAATTCTGCATCACGTTAGCAGTGTGACCTGGGGCCAGCCTCCTTAACTGCTTCATGCCTCGGTTTCTGCATCCATAAATGGGTATGATGGTATTACTTTAAGGTTTGTTGTGGGGCTAAATGGAAGAATAAGTATAAAGGCTGGCCCATGATCATCACTCAATAAATGATAACGGTTGTAATAACATTGTTATGATAGCTATATTAATCCCCACAGCAACTTTGTGTGGCTTGCGGGAAATGTGGTATTATCCCCATTTTGTATGCAAATACAAGGAGAGGAGGAGAAAGAAACTGGTTACCCAGGGCTGGAGGACTGGTAAGTGGTAGGATCAGAACTGGAACCCAGATCTCCAGAGTTCTTGTCCAGGGAGAGAGCCATCTGGGAAGTAAATGTCCCATGACTCAGCCAGGGCACTTCATCCTCTTTTAAGACAGGTGGGATCTTCCAGAAATAATGCCCCCGACTTTGTGTCATGTAGGGTCGTGTAGAGTCGGAGAGGTGAGAACAGCAGTACCATCACACAGATATCGTAAGATAGGCAGGGTCTCAACGCGCCTAATATGTTAGGTGATGTTCATTCCTGCCCCAAAGAAAGAATCAGAACCTTATGACGAGCCCTGGTCTCTCTCTCTTTGTACTCCCTCAATCTAGGAAGCAAGCGGCCAAGGAGGAGGGCAATATAGGAAAGGTGCCAAGACATGGCATTCGGTTGGGGCGCCTGGGTGGCTCAGTGGGTTAAAGCCTCTGCCTTCGGCTTGGGTCATGATCCCGGGGTCCTGGGATCGAGCCCCGCATCGGGCTCTCTGCTCAGCAGGGAGCCTGCTTCCTCCTCTCTCTCTGCCTGCCTCTCTGCCTACTTGTGATCTCTGTCTGTCAAATAAATAAATAAATAATCTTAAAAAAAAAAAAAAAAGACATGGCATTCGGATGACCATGTGTGCTGGCAGTTGTTTGCCGATAAAAATGGGGACCACGAGGATGGTTCGTAGCAGTCTCTCCCGACCAGCTAGAAAGTCCACTGCTTTTCAGGATCTGTAGTTCTCGAAAGCTGCTTTTATGGTTGAGTTTTACTTAACAACATTTCAGTGTCAGCTCTTAACCTCTGAACTTTATGTTGTAGGAGTCTGGTTGACACTGTGTATGCCTTGAAGGATGAGGTCAAAGAACTGAAACAGGTAATGAAATAGAATAGTCATTTTCTCGGGTCATATAACAGGAACAAGGTGGTGAGGTGGGGATTTTTCTTGTGTCTTCAAGGTAGGTTTTGTTGATTTTTTTACCGCATGGTCTTGGCTTCAAATTTCTCAGGATTGCTCATATACCTATTTAGTGGTTTGCAATAGGGTCCCATACTTAGTGATGGCTTTCCTGTGCTCTGACATCTGTAAGCAGAATGTTAACAAAGATAAGACATTCGTGAGTGCGTGAATATAAGGAGAACCGAGTATAAGGATTGAAGATGAAGCTTATTACATGGGTCTCTGATTTGACAGGGTGGTGCCCTTCATGGAGATCAGGAGCCACAGGAGGAAGAGAAGGTTAGGGTGACGGTAGAGACAGAGTTCACTTTAGGACATAATGACTTTGAGGTGCTTGTATATATCAAGTTGATACTGGGGGACTGTGGACCTAGTGCTTGTGAGATGAGATGAGGTCAAGTGTCGAAGAGACGTGCGAGGCCCCTGAGTTGAGTTGAAGGAGAAGAGACACTAAGTGAAAAGAGAGCTGAGCTGGAAAAGGGCCTGTGCCAGAGCCGTCGCGGACGCTTGCACTGCAGGCCAGAGGAATGTGAAGGCTTGGCCCGAGAGGGGTCAGAGAAGCAGGGGGCTGTCCTGTCTTAGAAGCTCAGGGAAAGGAGCCTGAGGAAGGGATGTACAGTCAGTGGTGAAGACTGCTGAGAAGATGAGCAGGAGGAGCCCTGGAAAGGGCGCCCTTGGTTGGGGAATTAACCAGTCTTTTGCCATCATAGGAAAATAAAAGAATGAAGCAGTGCCTGGAAGAAGAATTGAAATCAAGAAGGGACCTAGAAAAGCTGGTGCGGAGGCTGTTGAAGCAGACTGATGAGTGTATTCGGGCTGAGTCCAGTAGCAAGACCTCCATTCTTCCGTAACCATCACTGTGCAGCTGGGCACACGTGCCTCCGGGACATCTAGAAATGCCCAGCTGAATGATTTGTTTGCTCACTTCCTTGGTTTTTATTTTGTATCTGAGTCAGTCCTCTCTCTCTCTCTCTCTCTCTCTTGCTCTCTCTGTTTGCTTGAGTGTTTGTTGTCGTTTGGTTATTGGTTGGTTATTTTCTTTTTGACCGGGGTAAAAGCGAGACGTGGTGGTGGAAATCTCCCCAGAGTCTTTTCCACTCAATAAGAAAAGGAAAACGAGGACAGGCAAATGATTTAAGTGGTCTTCATATGGCCTTCAATTTATAGTGCCTCTTCACCAGCCATTACTCGCCCCCACACCCCGCTCCGTCACTCTTTTGGGGCTGGCTGCCATATCAGAGTGGCCGGTCGTGGCTTAGTAAATGTGAACTTGACTTTTTCTCTCATGCTTTCTTGTATCTGGAAGCCCCTCAGTACCCAATTTAAGGAGGGCAAAGCTCCTTGAGCTATGACAAGGGTAGGGTCATTTGCCCAGTAACCCAGCCATCCTGCCCCGACTATCATGTGCCACCCTCAATGCACACTTTTTTTTTTATTACTGCCCTGTGTTGTCTATAAGGCCAAGAAAACAGTAGCATCCTTATTCCTTTTGTGTGGGTTTACATTTTTAACTCTATGGGGCAGAAGCCCCGGTCACCCTTGCCAACACCAGACCCATTAGCAAATTGCAGTAGACAATCTTGCCCATCTACCGCAGAGTTGACCATCCCTGCCCAGTGCATGATAGTTTTTGCCCCTCACTGTCTGCCTCATGTGTAAGTTTTCTACTTCCCCAGTGCTTTTCAGCCAACCGTGTAAAGCGGTGTGTAAACTCGTACGTGTGCACTTTGCTTACTTTTTGAAAATATAGACCGTGAGCAGTCACTTCATCTACATATTTCAACTTGTGAAACTCTCATCCTTCAAAACAATATGCATTGAGGAGATAGCGTGCCCTAGTAGACTGCTTTATCACTTTATCGCTCTGCCAGGTATGCAGTGCGAAGCTGTAATATTCATCAACCTCTTTGAGTGGGACTTGAAGCATTATTTGCAGAAATGTGCTGTTGGTCGAATTTGTATATCCAGAAAGAAAGGACCCCCCTGCCCATCCCCCTACCCCTGGCAGTGGTTGTGTGCTGGTTGCTGGTGAAGCTCGGTGTTTGGAGCTAGTCTACTAACATTGCTCGTTGACTCCAACAGTCCCCTTTGTGAGTGTCTCCAAATTTAGAACAGTGGTAAACCAGGTTTAGAAGAGGGTCCCAGTAGAGCAGAACACATCCAAATTGGCACAAATGGAAGTCGGCACAAGGCTCCAGGACAGAGTAGTGCAACCCACTGCCCCCTCTCCCCAAGACAGGTGCAGTCGGGCAGGTGGGGCAGATCACTGGAAAGAGAGGCAAAGGGCCAATGGACTGGTCAAGGTCGCCTTCCAGATATATTTGGTGGGTCCCTCTAAATGTGGGTTTTGCCAATGGCGTTTAGAAATCACACTTGAAGCTTGAATCCCCCAGCTCGCTAAGCTCTTTTTCTTTGTAGTACTGGGGGGGGAGCTCAAGTTCCCATAGCTCCGCGGTACAGGGCTATTGACTGCTTGCCGCACGGCAGAAATGACACCATCCGCAGGAACGGGACGGTTCCAGCAGACCGCCGTCAGCCAACCGCACGCAGCCATCTTCAGAATGAGGAGTGAAGATTTCTAGAAATGGCCGCTGTTCTGTTTTTAAGCCCAGCAGCTTAGATACACCGTCCTCCACCTAAAAATGAACAACCACCGCAGACCTGAGCATCTGCCCCACCTGTGGTTAATGAACGGCTTGCAGTAAATGCGCCAGCTATATCCGTAGGGAACATTTTCGTGATTACAAAATACTTTAGCTGATAAGGTATAGGATTGCTTACAATATTGAAAGGTCTTTATTTTAAAGTGATGTGTACATATGCATGTTTCTGGAACTGGGCCCTTTGGAAGAGAGGCCCTCAGTACTGTGGGTAGTGAAGCTCTGTGCTCACACATTAAGCAAGTCCTACACAGGAAATGAAGCCATGTTCACCCGAGACCAGTGTCTCCATAGGTGTGTTGTTTACAATACTCTGTAAGTGGGTTCCTGTCACCCTGTAATTAAACCGCTGCCCTTAGAGGCTTTTTAGTTCCTCTTCCGTCATGTCCCTTCTTACACAAGCTCAGATTTTCTAACTTGTTTTTATTTTGAAGACTTTTAAAATGGACATTTTCAATAAATAAGAATAACAGTGCTTTATAAACCAAGTCCTGTGTTTTTCTTCTCTTCTCTTTTTCTCTTCTCTTCTCTTCTCCTTTCCTTTCCCCTTCCCTTCCCCTTTCCTTTCTTTTCCCTTCCCTTTTCTTTCCTTTCCCTTCCCTTTTCTTTCCTTTCCCTTCCCTTTTCTTTCCTTTCCCTTCCCTTTTCTTTTCCTTTCCTTTTGCCTTTTCCTTTCCCCTCCCCTTCCCTTTCCCTTTCCTCTCCCCTTCCCTTTTCCTTTCCTTTCCTTTTCTTTCCCTTCCCTTCCCTTTCCTTTTCCCTTTCCTTCCCTTTCCCTTTTCCTTCCCTTTCCTTTCCCTTTCCTTCCCCTTCCTTTTCCTTTTCCTTCTTTGCTAGCCGGTGTGCATAAAGATTTCTCACAGGGTGGCAGCTTCCTCCCCCATGTACTCATGAGCTGTCCGCTGTCATCGGGTCCCCTGGCAGGTGCACTTGCTCCCCACTTCACAGAGATAACTCATGTCATGAGACAGAACCTTCCTTAACTTCTCCACCCCTCTCCTTCTGGTCCCAACCTATGAACTGTTTGCACACCATTTTCCGTCCACTATCAGGATTTTGTCAGCCAGCGATAGCCTACATTTTGACCACAGTTGGAATGCTGGTGTCAGCCGTCAAGATGAAAATATTTGCTCCACCTCGAGACAGATGTGCTGGATATTATCTGTTGCTGCTCAGCACCCTTCCCACCCCTTTTGTGTCTCTCCCTGGAAGACTTAAAAAAAAAAAAACCCTTAGACTCCCTTGCAGCTAGGGTATGGAGATACAGTGTGCATTCTGATACATTTTCAGTTCTGTCAATGAAACACCTTTGCACGATGTTTGGAAGGCTTACATTAGCTAGAGGCCATTGTCCTGGGGCTTGGCGGCTGGAGGGCCATCCCGGAGACGTGTTTGTGGCTTCTGTACTCTAGTTTCCAGTGTGTCCACTCACAGCTTGTGCGTGGGAAATGGTCATGGCAGTGATCATGACGGAGCGAGAGCAGAAGCTTCCTGAACTAGATTTGGATCATAATTATAATACAATGACCTTGAAGCCATGAGTCCAATGTTAGTCCCCTGACTTCAGCTTCTGTCACCAATGATTTTGTAGGCACCAAATATTACCTCTCTGCTTGGGATGCCTTTCGTGGTTGATGTTTCTTACTCTGATGCTGGGCCCTCCCAAGTGTTTGTACGGTTGAGCTTAGGAAACCCTCGCAACCACCCTGTGAGCTGTTGGTCATCCCCATCTGACAAAGGAACAGAAGCACAGATGTCGAACAAGATGCTAGTAGGTGTGGAGCTGGGATTCGAAACCCTGGTGTGTCCACTTCCGGGATCCGTACTCTTTCCACCAGGCTTTCTCCTTTGTGCTTGGCACCTGCTAAGTAGGCTACTACCTCAGCCACCTACTCTTGGGAAGTCACTAATGAGCTCTCAATCGAAAAATCCAGGGAACACTTTTCAGTTCCTATCTTGTTATTTGACCCTTGCCTCCTTGATAAGTCTCTCCTTCCTTGGCTTTCCTGATCCCAACGTTTCTGGCATTCATTCAGCCTTTCTGACCACCCCTGTCTTCTTTGCTGGCTCTGTCTCCTTTGCCTGTCCCTTGAACATTTGCTGATCCTCGTCACTTTTCTTCTTCCCTTCCTTTCTATGGCCTCTTCCTGGACAACCTCGTCTACTCCAATAACTTCATTGATCAAAATGAAGGTGACTCCCATATCCATATTTTTCCATCCCAGTGTTTCTCCTGAGCTCCAGACCAATGGGTGCAGCTACTTCCTGGACAGTCTGGCTTAGATGTCCTACACAGCTCAAACTCAACATGTCCAAAGCTGGACGACTCCTTTCTATTCCCAGATCTGCTCCTCCAGTGTTTCCCATTCCACTCCTGGCCACTTAGTTGCCCCAGTCAGGAAAATGGACATTATCCTCTGCTCCATCCTCTCACTCAACCCTGTATCAATTTATACATTAATGCTTTATAAGGCTAGTCATCCAATCTTACCATTTTTAACTCTGTTGTATCTCCTGAATTCATCTCCATCCTCCTGACCATCACCTGTTTTTGGCACTTGTCATCTCTCCCTCAGACTGATGCATCTCCTTGCCTCTTGTCGCCTTTAGTCTGTCCTCTTTGGTGCCAGTAGCATGCTTACCTAAGAAGTCAATGTCATTCATCTGTTTAAAAGTATAATCTCTTGCTACTCCCCACCACTCGGTAAAATATAATCTCCATGAATTTCTCTGAAGTCTTGTAATACGCCTTTGCCCTGCCTAAAATCCCTTTCCCATCCCTGTCCATTGAGCAAATTCTTTCCTTTCCATTTAGAGTCAGCTCAAGTATCAATGTGAACTCATGATTTCTAAAATGCATGTATATATATGTGTCTCTGCATATTTATGTGTACATTTATATGTATGTACTATGTATGTTTCTCTATGTTAGGATTGCCAGATAAAATACATGATGCTTAGTTAAATTTGAATTTCAGCTGGGGTGCCTGAATGGCTCTATTGGTAGAACATGCAACTCTTGCTCTTGGGGTCTCCAGTTCAAATCCTACGTTGGGTGTAGAGCTTACCTAACACAGCTGAATTTTAGCAATGCAACAAATACTGTTTTGATACAGATCATGTCCCAAATACTGCATGGGATATATTTATACTAAGTTTTTCACTGTTTACCTGAAATTCAAATATAAATGGGTATCCAGAATTTTTATTTGCTAACTCTGACAGCTTTTTTGTGTCTGTGTATAAATATATATATATTTATATATATATTTATAGTTATTAGTATATGTTTACATATGTTATATTCCATATATATATATACAAATATACATATACATACATCTCTCTCTCTCTCTCTCACACACACACACACACACACACACAAACACACACTCTCATACATATTTCCTAGGAACAGGAACTGTGTTCTCAGGAACACAGTTAGTACCCAGAACTTGGTTTCTAAACACACTCTGTACTGAAAGGCTGATCCTATGGCTGGAGCAGGGAAGGTATAAGATGAGCCTAGAACATCTTGTGCCAGAAAGTAACAGAATGCTAAGAAAAGAAGCTGACAGGCCCACATCTCAAGGACACGGGCCAACTTGAAGAGGTTCCACTGGCCAAATAAAGGTAAATTTGAGCACCAAAATAAGGATAGTAATGATTTAGAAAACATTGAAAAAAGTAGACATCTATGAGTCCATGCTGATAAATAAATAAGAGGGGAGAAAGGGTAAGTTTGTGTTTGCATGACCGTGCTGAGTGTTGAGTGGTAAATGTGGAAGGAACCCCAGAGTTGGAAAATCCTCGTTTTGCAGCCGCCATACTAAAGACTGATGCAGGCAAAAATGACTCTCAGATGCTAAATAAAGGGGAAAATGTTGATGATGAGAAAGATATTTGCATGGTCTCGAAGTGTTTCCCCTAAGACTGCTTACTTGTTACAAAGGGGAGAATGGTAATTATAGAGTGCAAAAACTAGACAACACCTTCCTTCACCAGGTGATCAGAATCCACATCAGCGAGGAGAGGCAAATGGCCATCATATGTCTCCAGATGTAATACGCTGAAAAGAACACAACATCATGTATGTGGTTTGCCATCCA